GAGAGACGATGACATCTGTCTATTATTATAATAATACCTAACGATAAAATAAATGATTTAGAAAAGTTTTTCTTGTTTAACTGCTTTCCCTATGACTTTTTCTGATTAAAAAAAAAGCCAATTTTTATGTTTATAAAATATTTTGAATGAAAAATATTAAAATATGTACAAAATAAACCATTTTGAACACTTTTTTTTTATTATTTATCAAAAAAATATAGTTCTGGCATAAACAATGTTAAATTTTAACTGACTTAATTTTGCGAACGCATCTTTTTTATTTATATGGTTATCTTAAGGTCAGTTTTTGCGCTAATGTTGCTAATGCACCATTTGAGCGAAAAAAAATTGTTAAGGAAAAATTTTCTGTTAGCGAACCCTTTGTTAAATATTTCGAATATCACCACTGAATACATCGATTATCATCGGTTTCGGATTTCGCCGATTGTGTTTGGACGGATTATCGTCGAAAACCGAGGTATTACTGTATATAAGTTATTTTTAAATTTGTGAAGTTTTATGCGTATCCATCTCGGGAATTCAATTTGGTGGATAGGTCAGTCTAGCTTTAATCGTTGTTCTACCAACTTTCAGCAATGTCGAAAAATGAGCATTAATTCTTTCCTCAATCTATTGTACTACAAAAATGTATGGACGTGGACATTTTTACAGTGATTACAATGATTTCTTTTATCGAGTCACTGTTTCTCATAAAGTGTATGTATGGAGGACATAAGTTTATTTATTTTTAAACATATTCAATCAGCATGGAACATTCAATGGCAGAAAATTTGGCTTTTGTCATTTGATGGTAGGACCATTGTTTTTACTTTCCCGGCTATTACGTATATAACATGGGAAAGTAATCGTGTCGAATTTGACTCTGAGTTTTTTCAAATCTCGACGTTTTGAGACCCGACCCGAAGAAAGTAAAAAGAAGGGGAAAATTGTGTGGGTGTGGGCGTCTATTTCGTTTAATATCTCGGAATTGGTGAAATTTAAAAAACTAATTTTGTCTGGTAACTTGCACATAAGGAACATTGATGCTGTTAAATTTTGGTGGTTAAAGGTGGAGAGAGTGAGGAGATAATGGGAGTCGTGTTTATCTCCAGTAGGGTCAGACTTAATGACAATTTTACTTGTTATTAACTTTATACTTTTTTATAAAACTTATTTCTACTCTCAAAATTAAGCTTTTTGTCATTCTATAGTAATTAAAGATATAAAAAGCTTTTTATAATAAAATCTCATAACAGATGGCGCCACACACAATTTTTTAAGTCATATTGTAAATAGTGATAAAAATTATTTTTCACGGTAAATAAGATCTCATAATAGCAGGGAAAGTAAAGCAACTCGTTGCTGGACGTTTTTACCGTATTGCTCAAAATTCAAATAATTTTGATTATTTTTCTAGTTTTAAATTAAAATCTAAAAACGCGTTATACAACTTTTAATTGGGGTTCAGATATTGTCTTTCGGGATTTTTCTAATTATATGTAAAAATAAATTAATTAATAATATAAAAGTTATTTATAATAACATCTCTAAACAGATTGGGTTAGACACAATTTCAACTTTGTGCCAATGTGTCTTAGTGTTATAAATATTTTTTTAAATGAAATTTCTCTTAATTTAACAGAATCATTCCTCTTAAGCTTTTCTTGTTACGTAAATTTTATATATTTCTTTTATTAAGTTTGTTGAATCCAAACCTCATTAATTCAAAATGTCAACTTTTAATTTCCTTCAACTTTCTATTAACGGGATTTGACTGTATTTCAGATTCCGAACAGCAAGGCAAACCTTTTATTACGCGACAACAGTCTTCGTGAAAAATGTTGTGATAAAAGAAATTTTGCAATTCAATAAAGTTTACGTAATTTTAGAAAAATTAATTTTTCATTCCATCAAAAACAACAGTTTACGGCTTGTACAAAAATAGCCTATACATTTTTATAACTATGATAAAATTACAATGACAATGAATGAATGAATCATTTTTATCTGTTTCACCATTTTAAACAGCGATGTGACTCGCTATTGTGACACTGGATATTGTTCAAAGACACTTTAGAACAACTCTTTGCTCCGCTCTCCTAGCCAATTAGATTTCTTAATTAGCAATCTATGTTACTGAATACGGCCCATGCTCACTCTCATTATAGATTTCGGACCTAGTCTTAACTATTTTCGATAATATCGAAGTTTTGATATGCAACAGCAACAGAAAGCTTATGATACACATTCGAACATCTAAGGTGAAACATATGCTGAAGCGGAGAGCAAAGCGGCGAAAATAAACAAATGTATTTGTGTTAGAACACGCATAACGAGATGCTACTGCACTATTGTTAAGTTGGATTTATGTTCTTGATGTCGTGTCTAACATGCAGCAAAATGACGTCAGTTTGATACCATGTCCATGCTATATCCAAAGCATTGCTATGGATATAGCATCAAAATGGATTCATTTAGCTTCGTTTTGCTTTACTATAAAGTAAAGCAAAATGAAGCGTTCAAACAAGTTTGATTTCTTTGCTGTTATCATCGTTCACACAAATAAAAATAAACGTCGATTAATTTATAAGTAGTGTTTCACTAAAAAATCTGCTTTGAGATCAAAAAGACTCTCAACAACATACTCGTTTCATTTTACATAAAATGTGGGATGATGTATTGTGTCCAAAATATAATCAAACGTTGAAATATTCATTCGAAAATATGAATAGAACTTGCCGGATGTTTACGTAGTTGTTCATACAGATGATGAAATTTAAATTAAATAAATTAAAGTTTACTTTAATTTATTACGCGTTTTTACTGTGTTAAATAAATTACAACTTTTAGTTTGCTTTTATTTTTCAATGCTGTAAATGCCAAATTTTTAAGGACAAATTTTCCCAAATCCATGGTTTTGTAAGTAGTTCTTGCTCGATTTAAAACTTTTCAGCATGATTCTATATATATGACTATCACCTAGTATAAATTGTTTCTCCGCTTTCATCGCTGCCTTGCTCACCTCTTCAGTATGTTTTAGTTATCTCAGATGTCAGGGAGAGTTGGGGTTAAGTTTTGCGAGCAACCCCAGGAATTTTTCAAATACGATCTGTCTCGCATGTCTCAGACCCAGTCCCTTGTTACCTAGTTATCCCTATTGTGGGCCTGGCCCACGATGAGTACTGAATAAAGACCTCTAGTGCCCATGGGACAAAAGGAGTTAAAAGAAAAGAAAAAATATCTCAAAAATAGTGCAAATATTGAAATTCTATGCTTGTTTTTCATTTATTTCAACTATGATATTTCAATTTACTTTCTAAATCATAACACAAGTATGAATGAATTCTGGTTCCATGAATGATTTGTGAATCCTGAATGAATTACTGATTTCCAAATTATTAATAACCATTAATCATTTAGTTATCATTAATAATAATAATAACATAATAATAACATAAATTAAGTACTTTTTTGATGACAGATATTAAATTATCTTGAAACAATTACTCATATTCAAGGCATCTTAAAAACGCTCTTAATTATAATATCAATTTTTCAAAAACAATACTCTGCATATAAATAGAATTGAAATACAGTACAGTATCTTTATATTACTCATAGTCGAAAAATTGACAGTTAAAGCTTTAAACGTAAATAAATGAATATTAAATCTGAAGTTGTTGTCCACACTTAATTTACAGAGTCATCTTCATAGAATAATTTGAGCATGCCAACTCATAGTTGTCATTTACGTGTATTTAAAGACAGCGGAATGACATCAGATATTTCACACTCAAATTATAGCAAATTTAAACGTAAATAAGAATAAATGTATAAACGATATTTATGACATTATAAGTCCGTTAATATTTGATGATGAGATATTGTTGAGAAGAGATCAATATTCCATTAAAATTTTCGGTCTCTGACGAGATATACTATATCATTAAAGCTTAATACTTCATTAACAAAAGTCAAGTTTATTGAGTTTGCTTTATTAAAGATAATTTTGAAGAAACATAATCCTTGAAAATTTAGATTTTGAGCTGATTCTACTGTAATCATTATTTATGATGATGGAAGAGGTGGTGGTGATGACCATCATAGTGGCGATGGTGAAGAGGATGGTGATGATGATGATGATGTGGATGATAGCGATGGTGATGATGACCGTGATGGTCGTCATGGTGGTCGTCATGGTGGTCGTCATGGTGGTCGTCATGATGGTCGTCATGATGATGGTCGTCATGATGATGGTCGTCATGATGATGGTCGTCATGGTGGTCGTCATGATCGTGATCGTGATGATGCTCATGATGATGGTCATAATCATGGTGATGATCGTGATCGTGGTGATGATCGTGATCGTGGTGATCGTCGTGGTGGTGGTCGTCGTGATGATCGTCGTGGTGATGGTCGTCGTGATGATCGTCATGGTGATGGTCGTCGTGATGATCGTCATGGTGATGGTCGTCGTGATGATCGTCATGGTGATCGTCGTGGTGGTCGTCGTGGTGATCGTCATGATGGTCGTCGTGATGATCGTCATCATGATGATCGTCATGGTGGTCGTCATGGTGGTCGTCATGGTGATCGTCATGATGATCACCGCGATAGCCATGACCATGATGATGATAATAATGGCCGTGGGAAGCAGCAGTTTCGAATTTCTCCCATGTTAGGCACGTACTGATAACACACAAGAAAAGTCCCAACGTAAAAATTAAGCGCTGTAAAAAGAACACTGTAATTAACATAAAGCTAAAATTAGTAATATTTGCCTGATATAATTACTTATTGGCTCTGCTGAATGTTGGATTAGAAAGAGATAACAGATTCGTTTATTCGTCTATAAACCCCTTTTTATAGGTTTCCAAATTAAGCATTGTAATTAACATTGAAATGACTCACTTCTATACTTAAATTTAAAAAACAAAGGAAACTATTGGATTTATTCCAATTATTTCAATATCAAAAAAGATAAACGCATATCAGAAAATAATATACTACTGTATTTTGATTCAGAAAAATTAATCTATGATCACAACGAATTTAAAGAAGAAAAAATCTTAATTCACTAGAAGTGACAGAAAATATTTGTATTCTTCTACTTTCAAAATGCTATTTTTGAACTGATGATCCAGATTTTTTTTAATCTGCCAGTAAGAAGATTTTTAATCTTCTTAAGTTTTTTACGCGTGTCACCATTATTCTTTTGTAACAAATGAAATTCTGGATGAAAAAATGGATTATACACTAATGAAAAAAAAAAAATTTCTTTATATATAATAAAACTATTTCCTACTCGTAAAATATCACTTTCAATAATTCTCGCAATGAATTATTTAAAACACAAATAGAAAAACTTTTAGCCGTTTAACTCGTATTACAACGAGTATAATATATGAAATCTTTACAGAAGAAACAAATTTTAACTTTCACAAAGATTTTACATATAATACTCATTACGTTACATTGCTCATTCTACGGCAAAAATCTTATTGAGGTCTTTGCGATAGAAGATTGTAAAAATTCGTTTCTCTGTAGAAGCGAAAGTGATTAAATAAAAGTTATGGCTTACCATATTTACTTTTTGAAGAGAACGATGAAAATAGTAGAATTATCGATCCGCTATTCGAATATTTTCTAATATCGACAAACCTTTTATAAGAAGGATGCATCTTTTTGGCGGGAGTCGCCACCAGGAAGTTTCAGTCGAAATCGTCACGCATCGCGACGTTACTCGAACTGAATATTGTTTTGTAGTAAAAAAAAAATAGTGGGAGGTTCTTCTATACTTGAATGATTACAACCGATGATGCTTTTTTCTCAACCAATTAAATTAGCCATAATATTTTCAAACTCGGTCTGCTTAATGGGAAATGTGCAAAAACATGGCTACTATTACATCGTTATATGAAAGTTGACTTTCTCTTTTATATTTTTCGCTGTTGGCCTATAAAATTTTTCAAAGATGTCGATTTTGAAGGTCATCTTAGTTTTTGAGTATTTAACGAAACTCGAAAGTAATTTTTCTAGGGGACAAGTTTTTTAAATATTCATTTTATTTTTTTTAGCACAATTAGATTTGCCACATCTCGGACTGATGGATTTTATGGATTGACAACAAACATAGTTGGGAGCAATTAATGGCTGGAGTTTTGTAATTAATTATTTTGCAGTTTTCGTGTCAATGGTGCCTGCCACGCCCAACTCCATTTTCGACACTCCCCTCTCTCTAGATGTTTCGATAGGACATTTCTTATCTAGTATCAATCAATAGGCTAAATGTTACTCAATATCATAGTTCAACTATCATTTTTTGGTTTATATTTTAAAAATTATTGATAATTTGTAAGTTATGTTTATAATCTTAATTTTTAATAAAATAATTACTTTGAACAAATGAATGATACAATATTAATCAGTATATTTACAGTATGCCTTTTGACAAGATAATGCTGAATGCAAAGCTTATAAAGCATATGATCACTATCTCTACTCAACAATTCTTATCGATTAGGAAAAAGTATTTTTAGGTGCATTGGGGGAAAGTGATTTTTACAAATTTATTCGTTGCTACTAAAACTCAGTAAAAAGAATATAAAAGAATAATAGTTCCTTACGGGGACAGGCCATTCTATTTTTACTAGTTGTCTGATTGACGACAAAATCATTGCTGGATATGTCAAATGAAGAAAAAAAAATGTAAAAAAAAATCATTTTAAACTCTTTTGAAACCATTAGAAAAAGGAAAACAAAGCATTAAGATAATTTACATTATACTTATTCTATAGAAATTATGTAAATGTTCGCAAAGATTGAGGATATAATGGCGAAAACAAATTGCACGTAATAGATATTATCTTATTCTTCAACTAATAAATGATACGTTTGATTAAGTAAGTCACAAAGATCCCAACTGTCACAACCAAAACGAAATGTCGATAAAATTTATTTTTCATGTTATTTCTATTAAGTAAGATATGCTTCACTTCCTAAAATACTGAAAAATGTAATTCAATTTTTTAAATTATTTTTCTTAATTAAACTTTGGCAGGAAGTTGTTTCTTTAGAAAAGATATTGAATTTTAAATTAAAATCCGTCAAGGACAACAAATGCAATTTTTTATAACATTTTTATAATGGCCATTAATTACTAATGAAAATCTAGTTTAAAAATATAGAATTTGTTTTTATACTACTTGAAAAGTAAACAATGAATTAAATATATTTGATTCTATTCGACATAATACTATTTTTATGGCGACTTAAGAAACATATACTTAATCAAATGGATTTCTATGTATTAAATACAGTAGAGCGTCGTTTATCCGAAAGTCGGTTATCCGAAAGAATTCCAGTCGGCCTAAAGTATAATTTTTATTTGTTTTTATATTTTTCAATGTATTTATTTCGTTTGTAAAACATAAAGAAATCATTTTTAACGATACAATAGCCACTATTATTATTTTTAAAAGTTTACGTTAGGCTTAACATCGACGAAAATTCAACGCGAAGCGACACGCAACGGAGAAAAATTTCAACACGGGATAGGTTAATATATTTTTTCGCACGCAATCGGTTATCCGAAAAATAAGTTATCCGAACAACACCAGTCCCCAATTGATTCGGATAAACGACGCTCTACTGTATAATAAAATTTATTTTGTTATTAAATGTGTTAATTTTTAAATATCATTAATGTTTTTTATATAAAAGTAATAAATAAAAATCAAAATAATTCGCAAAATTTTTGTGTTTTGAAATATCTTAAATTTCAAAATTACCGCATAAGCAGCGCACATTTTATTTTAAAACAAATGTATCGAGAATATTAGCAAATTTCATTTTTAAAGATGGTTTCAATAAAATATTCGAATTTTAAAATAAACGAGTTTCATCGCGTTTTATAAACAAAAGTATTAATTAAATAGGGAATAATTTGCGATGCTTAACTAGAAACTGGTACAGAATTAAAAAATACTATATTGTAGCGTGGCAATATGCAAATAAATTCCTTGGTTCAGCAGAGCAAAACAGAAACAAAACTAAATTTGTTTAGTAAATTTAGTTATTTTCATTGTGATGTTATTTACGAAGGCTTCTGTTTATCATAAGCAACACGAAACAGAACAATACAAAAACAGATATTCATTCTTTCATTGAAGGCGAAAGTAATAAAATATTAAAAATATCAAAGATATCTTTCCTGGCCTTTTTATGCAGATAATTTTGTTTTCAAAACTGTTCCGCATCTAATAATTTGTAATAAGATTCGCTTTTTTTGTAGCACAAATTAAGTTAATAATCAGGTTGAAGAGTAAACGATTGTATATGATCGTTGGCGGTGATTTTTTCTCAATCCTTTTTTTAGTCGTTACTCGTGCCTTCGCGCCTTCATTAAATCTTTATCATGTTCCAGTTTATTAATAGTGTGCGAAGAAGCTTTGGAGCTTCGTTTTTTTTTAAATAAAATAGTATTAATATATTAGCGCAGGAGATAGATTCAATTTTCATTAATTTATTGATAGTTTATTTATGAAGGATATGATCTTAAGATCTTATACCTACTAATCCGAATAAAGCTTAAAATCATTTCTGTAATGAGATGATTAGAAGGAAAGTTAATATTCAGCACAAAACGAGTTTTGTTCATATATATTCGGCAGATCTCGAGCAAGTCTGATTATTTAATTTGATCTCAAGTTTAAACATATGTTTTTTTTCTATTAAATATAATTTTTTTTTAAATTACTGTATGAAATTTCATATTTAAATTTTTTTATTATTTAACTAACTCTTCATATTTAGATAGGAAAAATAATATGAAAATAAGGAAAAAATTGATATCCAGAACTATAATTAGACTTCTGCACTGAATCCTGTTGAAAGTTTAATACAGATTATAAAAGTAAACGAAATAAAATATATACGAGTAATTTGCAATATACAGTAATACAAACTTTCGTACAGAATAATGTATTAACACCAAAGAATAAAGAATTGGAGAATACAGAGTTCGTGTAAAATGAACGCAAGCTGTTTCAGTAGGTTTTATTCAAGTATTGTACAATACAGTACCAAACGGAATTGTTTAGTACCCATAGACTGAATCAATATCCCAACAAAATTAATATATTTATAAAGTTCTGGAAAAAAAGNAATTAAATATTCAGTAATTTTAAAGAGGTAGGCATTAGATCCATCTATTGACAAATTAAAAATTAATATATTTATAAAGTTCTGGAAAAAAAGAATCACCCTAGAGCAGGACTTGAACCTGCAACTCCCACTTACCATGCAATGCATTGCCAGTTATACTGTGGATTAGATCCTGATGGACGTCGCTGGAATCAAGGTGATAAAGAAATAAGCATTCCCCTAGAATCAGAAATTAATATATTTATAAAATGATAATACAGGTTTTATTTAAATACAGTACTGCATTTTGACAGGAGAATTTAGAAAATATTAAACAGAAGTCACTAGATACGATAAAGTGTTCAAGTGTCAGAAAATAGTGTGACTAATTAAATGGGCTTTTACATCAGATTCATCGATATTTTTATTCGACTGTTACAAATGACCTGTCAGTGATGTAGACCAATATCGCTAATTTACATAGTTATATTTTTACAAAATATATAATATTGAAAAATATTAAATAAAAATATTGAAAAATGCATAATTGTCTTTCTTACTATTCATTACATCATTCAAGGAAGAAGGCAATGGCAAACCACTTCCTCAACTCTTGCCAAGTAAACTACATGGACAAGAAACGACTTGTCCATGCAGTCACCAGGAGTCGACGACGACTTGATGGAACTTAACAACAAAACTTTCTTACTATGTTCTAGAAACAAATTTAATTTTTCGGCTGTAAGTGAACATTTATTTTATTTGAAGGGTCATCTGTCTTAGGGATCTCAGCAAACTGTTTTAAAACTATACCAATAAACATCTGTTCATTTCAAAGGACTTTAAACAATACGATTTGTTTAGGAACGCATGGTTTTCTTTGTTTTTGTTCTTGTGGACATGTAATGATAATAAATATCATTATTGAACGTTCTTGACCATGTAGCCACGAAGATGAAATTTGATTTATATTTAAACATGTGCAGTTTTACAGAATTCAGAATTTAGAGGTAACCGAAGTAGTTATCAGAACCATAGCTATGTATTGGCAAGGGGGACAAGTGCCAAGGGCGCTTGCCCCGTTGCCAAGGCGTAAGAGGCACCAAGCGTCCCTCACGCCTGGCAAACATTTATGTGTGGTGGACTAAAAAGACTAAAAATATCACGCGTCCTTTGCCATAATTCGTGCGGCTCTATTATGTCTCTGCAATTTTCCGTCAATGCACTTTTCACAGTGCACTTTTAAACCAATAGTTGAAATAGTGCTTCGAGGCAATCTGATGGATGAATCAAAGTTCTGGTACTGGGAATCCCGTTTTCTTATGAATAATTAAAAAACTGTGACTTCCATCTATATCTGAACATCGGAGTTGTAGGTATTCAGGCCCACCCTGTATATATTGCATATTTTATTTTGAACTTACCGGTATGTTTTGTTTTTCTATAATAAATTCTTATTTATAATAAAATTAATTCTTACAATACAGATCTTCATCATTCAGCTACTTATGTAAAATAAGTTTAAAAGGGAGCAGCTGTTTAGATATTTGCCAAAGACGTCAAAAACATTGCTTCGGCTCTGGTAGTTATAAATCAAACGTTTACCGTATTTTGCTTTCTAGTCAAAATATAGGCTATTCAATTAATTAATTAATTAATTAATAACTATTCAAACAAAATTTTAAACTTGTTTTTAATTGAAGTTTTTTTCCGCTCAATAGAGGTAAACTGAAAAAAAGACAAGGAGAGTAGAATTAATGACAGAAAATTTATGCCTTGGAAGAAAATTTTCGTCATTAAATACTTATGAATCTAATATGTTTGGCACTTTTGCCCTAAAACGCGACATATACAGTACTTTACATCTTTCTTTACAGAAATGACCGGTGTTTAATGGAAATTATATTCTCGTTGGTTGGATAAAAGTTTTATTGACGGTAAATTTTAATCCTGAGACCATTTGCCTTGAAAGACGTGGATGATGATCGCTGCAAAAATAGTTTTGTCTAAGGATGTTCTGTTATTTTTGTAATAAATCTGCTAACAAAATTCAGAAATTGAATTTTATGTAGGGGCGCCGTCCTTCCTGATTTGGAACACTTCGTCCCGATTGGAAAAGTTTTTCCGAAATGTCCCGATTTGTTTATTTCTATTAAAAAAAACTCTAATTTGTCTTTTATAAAAGTTAAATAATAATTGTGGGAGATGGGTGTCGTGTATACATGTATCAACTGTTATCGCAATCTCATATTTTAATAATCTTTGAAGCATGCGCCGTGTTCTGTACCCATGTGTAGTGCTGTGAAATGGTTTCACAACTATCTATAATTTTGTGCAATCATTGACGTAGGATTAATCAATGGTTACATCTTTTCATAGTCTAGCTTTTTTATTTGTCTTTTGCTGTTTTTGCTTTGTACACACTAAGAGGACAATATATTTAATTAATCATGTTCATCGTGGATTCGGCCAAGTCCACAATAGGGCAGCCGAATTTTCTAACAAAAGCTTAGTTAAAGCTTTTAAGCAAATTTTGTAACATAATAATAAATGTTTAGTAATTGATAATTCAATAAAATTAATTTAATTAGAATTACTCACTTATTTGCTAAAGTAACTACTACCTTCCTGATGCGGATATCGATCAATTTTTATCATAATACTACTTCACATTGTCCCGGTTTTTAGTTTTGAACTTATGGCAACACTAATCTTATCGCTAAATGAAATCTTTTCTGGTTGAAATGTATTTTTCATTTCAAGAAAGCGAGATTCTGAAGAATATCGAAATTTCTTCAAGAAAAAATAAGGAACGATGATGACAAAACAGAAAATGATGCGTTTTTCATTAGCACCATCAGGAATCCTGATAGTGCTAAACGTCAACTATCGGTCCAAGGTCACAAGCACCGGCGCCGACTGAGTACGAAAGTTCAGATCCGTATCCGTATCCGTATCCGCGGATCTAGACACTAATGATCCGTATCTGTATCCGTATCCGCGGATATACATTTTTAACGATCCGGCACATAACTAATCAGAAATTTCCATATATGGTCTGTTCCGGATACGTCGTCCTCGTCCCTCGCCACCTAGCCGACTCCATTGTGTGGGCGTAATAAAAATTCTTTCTTAATGCCCATAGAGTAGAAAAAGTAAAAACTTAAATAAATGAGCAAGTCCTCTTAGTGTCCCAAGATAGAAATGTCAAAAATGAGGAAAGTATAATAATAATTATAAATTTTTTTAAAGTTTCAGTTTTGTTCCTACATAGATTTATACAATATATCAGGTATAAAGAAGTATACCTGAGCTTCAGTTTATTTTAAACGTTTTAAAACGTTAAATTCAATAATGAATTATAAAAGCATTATAAAAATTACTAAATTTGATTGCAAATTTAATTAAAACGTACATTAGAATCAATCACCAATATTTTGATAAAATGTTTCAATATCTTCCATATTTTAACATCTTCAACTACTCTTGTATGACGGCCGGATAGCCGAGCGGTCGTAGTGACAGCCTTCCGCTTTGGAGTTCGAATCTGTACGGGTCGATAAATTCTCAAGAATTTTTTGAGTTGTGGTCCGTCCGGATATGTCTGGGCCCAGTTCGTCACCACCCGGCCTCCCCAAACCCATAATAAGCTTGCTAAAAGAGTCCCAGAGAACGGAAAGAGTTAAAAAAAATTTACTCTTGTATAAAAACTATTATTATTAAATATAAATAAAATATTTATAAATACAAAAAAATATTTTATTTTTCATATTTTTTAGAATAATCTAAGATCCTCGTAATTAAATATGTTTTATTAGCGATTTCAAAAGATGGCAGCGCTGTATAAGTATCTACTGTATGCTGTATTAGTGAGGAGTCGTGTGGTCTGATGGGGAAGATGTAGTGTTTTTATAAAAATGAGAACGGAAGGGTTATCCCAAAAACAAAATGAATAATTACGAGAACGTCTTTAACGTTCGGTAAGTTTAATATTGTATAAGTTTTCGAATATGAAATTGTTTATACGGTTGTGATATTAAAACTTGGCGAGAGTCCAGTTTGAAAATGACTTTATGATTTTAAAAAATGTGATTGGGGGAATTGAAACGTCGATCGGATATCTTTGAGAATATAATAATGCACTTTAAAAATCTCGCATCTGTTATGTTCTAATGAAAATTTAAAATTCTTTAAAAATAATTTAAGATTTTGAACTAAAATTTCTGTTAAATCTGTTAAATTCCAGATGTGATTTATCAGATTTAATAACAAATTCTATGTAAATAATTCTAATCATTTATTATTATTATAAGTTAAAATAAAATTTATTTATATACAATTTTTAAATATTTTACATAATATATTATTAATATAATATATTATGTAATAAATAATATAATTCTTCCTCTTTTTTGACTAAGGGAAGAAGAATTAATAACAAACTAAAAAGTTTTATTTTCACAGTGTGTAATGTGAAGACAATGGCTGCGTTTGGCAGTCGACAGTTGTAACTGAGCAAAGGTGTTTTGATCTGTAGTGGTTATATAATCACATCTGCTGAACGATGAGAGACGTATGCATTGGAACAAAAGGAAGTGTCATTGGTCAGTTTCAGGTAGCATAAAGATGCTACTAAATGTGATGTCAAAATATCAAACGTGTTCCAAAACAGCACTACCGTAGAGATCATTTGGCAGAAAAATACTTGATATCTCCAGAACTGTTGAGTCTGCTGAATGCAGTCAATGTATAAGAAAATTTCAATCGATATGATATTTTTCTGGAATTTTTTACAATAATTTGATTAAATTATCTCCAGATGTTTTACATTGTTGATCATTTAATGAGAAACAATAAAATGAGAATGATTTTCAATTCAAGGTTCTTTTTAAAAAATCTAAATTTTAGGTTTTTATTTATGTATATAAATTAATGCAAGTTTCTAAATTAGTTTTCAGAAAAATTGAATTTGCTAAATCATCTGCTTGCTAGAATTTTACATTTGTAACTGTACAGACAAAATCTTAGATAGCAAATTTTATTTATTTAATTGTAGAAAGTTGTTTTTGATCTAGTAAACAGACCGTAGATCTTATTAACAATAATTAGTTTGAAGTAAATAGCTAAATCTACTTGCAAATTTAAGACAATCTTTGTTTCTATCATTCTTACTAAAATGGAAATAAAAGCAAAAGTGATGAGAAATATAAGGCATAAAATACAGTATTATTTAATATTTTAGTATTAATACAGTGTACTATTTTTGCTAATTTACTTTACATCTATATATGAAATATTAAATATTTTGGAAATTGCAGATGTGAAAGATTTCATTAATAAACAAGCTTAAGTCAAAAATATCCCTTTATCTTATTTCATTTACAATATGGTTTATTTTAGATGTTTTTATAATCAAATAAAATGAAAATAGGCTGAAAAAATAATTCCTTGCATTTTGTCAATTTCATTTGTAGAGCATATAAATTAAACAAATTAATCACTTTCAAAACATCAAAATAATTCAATTTAAATGATACAAAATTAAAAACAGACTGTAAATTTTATTTGCAGCTTGATTCTTTAAGAATATAAAATTTGAATGCTTTGTTGGTAAAGTGTCACTCAACAATTATGTAACATCAATAAGGGTTTTTTAATTGATAAGCAATGCATTGTCTAATTGAATTTATTTGATATTAAGTTTATTTTATATTTTTCTCTAAGTTTGATTTTTTTCACCTTATATTAAAGTTCTAAAGTTCTAGCAATTTTTCTTTTTTCTTAAGTTTTACATCCTTATATATAGCTATTACTATCTAAACTTATTGCCAGTCAATTTCATTGGGTATTCGTACGTAATTGTTTAGATCAAAATCCTGTCCTCAGTTTATTTAACTTCCTTATTTAAGACATTCTGTTAGGTTTATAATTACTCTTCCTGTTTTCAAATCTTTATATTCTTAAATCCTGCCTTTGTAAATCTTTTACACTGGACATAAAAATTTACAGGACTATGTATTCATATATTTCAATCTTCTTTTTTCATCAGCTATAACTATCAATATTAATGGAATTTCTAATAAATGAAAACAATTTTTTAAATCAATTTTTGATTATTTATGAAAACATGTAGGCTTATTTCCTACATAATAAATTTGGTTTATTTCTAAAAAATTGTCTGATGGTATACAAGAACAGTTGTCAATAATTAAGCAGAATTAATATAAAAAAAATATTAGTGAAATACATATGTAGGGAAAAAATTTCTGTGGATATAGTAGGGCTCTACTTTTACTACTCAACTAGTTTCTAAAGAAATGTGAAACAAATCTTATTTTCCATAACTTTAATTTTGAATTTGAGACTGTATTAATGAAAATAATTTTTTCCCATCTGTACATAAAGTTTATACAATTAAAAAACATTTAATTATAATATACTTTTGATAATCCAAACTAATTATTATGAAATCTTAAAATGTGTTCATATTAATCTTGCAAATTGTTTTTAAGATACTGTCAAGTAATGAAAATAAAATATACACTGTTTGTATGCAACATTTTTTAAATTTTTGTTTGTAAGTGTTGTATTGTGACTAAATTATTACATTGTTATCATTTATTTGTTTCTCTAAAAACTAGAAATCTTATTTTAAAAAATAGCAAGTTTAATATGACCAATGAATATTTTGAGAAAATTCTATTTTTTATATGTGGTACTGAATATTTTACTTGCATTAATTTTTTTATAAGTAAACACAGTTTAAAAGTAAAATGTGTTATTAACTAGGTAAAAAAATAGTAAAGAAATCAAATAAATTGACTTAGATTAAGCAATGTTTATGCTAACACAGATTCAGATTAGGTAGTGTGCACTACTCTGTATAGCATGGGTTCCCAACTTATGTTTTGTAGAACCCTATAGTAGAACCCTATAGAACCCTAGTGATTGTATGAATGTGCCAATGCGGATTTGAGATGTAATTGTTCTAGTCTCGGATTGTCCTACAAGAACTTGATCAGAGACTATACACATGCTAAAGTTATTTATAGTTTTATAAACAGTGGGAACTGATTTAGTGGCAATGGAACGAATTGAAATCATGATATAATATTTGACAGGGTAATGGAAACATAAAAACAGTAAAACAAACTAAAGCTAGAAAATCATTCAAAAAATCATAATCTTAAAAAGGATCCAACATATAAATACAAATACAATTGTTAAATCTGTATATATTCTGTCACCACTGCATTTAAGATTGAAGTCAAATCAATTGAAATTTAAAACAATTTTATTTAATTAATTTTGATTTTATTTTTAATTGTAGTTTTATTCTCTGTTTTGATATAAAATGGCTACCTAGTATGCTTTAATTCAGTGTTCCGCAACCCATGTGCCGTCACAAGGTGAAAGGTGTGACGTGAACTTTTACATATTCTATTAATTTTCAAGTTTTATTTATATATTTTTATCGCAGTTGTTGTGTTTTTTATGCTTGTATTTCATTCACTGATAAAATAAAATGATGTTAAAGCAATAAACACATATGTCGTCCCAGTACTTACTTATTCTTTTGGAATTATACATTGGACTCACACAGATCTTGAGCAACTCCAAATGAAAACAAGAACAACACTTACTAAGCATAAACAACGTCATCCTAAGTCTGCCATAGAAAGATTAACCCTTCCACGTAAAGATGGCGGACGTGATCTGATTGATATAGTAAACCTTCACTACAAGAGCACTGCGAGAGTTTTTCTACAAAAGCAAGAAACATAAACTTACATAAAGCAATAAGTCTAGCAAACTCAAATCAAATCACCATTAAACTTACATTTGCATCATATGGACAAGACAGAACATATAAAATGCATAGACACTTAAGCAATCGTGGGTTCAAAAAACACTCTATGGCAGACATCCCTGTGACCTAGCCCAGGATTTTGTTGACAAAACTGCGTCAAATAGCTGGTTAGCTCGGGGATGCCTCTTTCGGGAGATGGAAGGATTTATGATTGTCATACAGGATCAAGTCATAAATACTAAAAACTACATAAAACACATACTGAAAGATATAACACTTACAAATAACACGTGCAGAAAATGTCACATCATGCCAGAAACTGTGCAACACATCACTTATGGTTGCAAACTCTTGGTACAGACATAATTTACATCGACATAATCAAGTAGCAAATACATCAAGAGCTTGCAAAGAAACACAAATTATTAGACATCCACGAACCATACTACAAATATGTTCAACAGACAGTATTGGAAAACAACACGCACAAAATGTACTACGACAGAGCCATAATTACAGATAAAACAATTTACCACAACAGATCAGACATCACACTCATTAACAAACATAATAAAATCACATACATTATAGACATATCCATTCCAAACACTCACAATATACAAAACACACGCAGTGAAAAAATCAGCAAGTACACGGAACTCGCCCAGGAAATAAGGCATCTATGGAGGATGAATAGGGGTGCTTATTGAACTTGTGAACGACACGTTCACAACAAGTTCTCCTCTACATGTCATACCACAAACATACACAAAAGCCTGGGAACATTAAAATTGAATAGAAACACATACATCACACTACAGAAGGCCTGTATATTGAATACATGTCATATTGTTAGGAAATTCCTGAATACAGACACACAATGACACGCTTATTTAATTTTTGTCTTTTTTTTTTTTTTGAAGTTACTATGCCTTGGCTCTGGTCTGGCATAGTGCACAGCTATCGGTGTCCACCTAGTGTAACTCACAAAACTCAACATAATTGAGTTTTGTGGTTTATGGCATTACAAAATTCTATTACTAGTATCATATCATACGTTATTGAGGGGAATAACATTTTGGTGTGCCGCGATTAGAAAAAGATTGCGGAACACTGCTTTAATTCATTGATATCTGCAAGGTTTCAATGTTTGTTGTTGTCAGAGTTCCA